CTCTAAAATCATCCATCATGAAATGGACAAACACGTTGAAAGAATCTCCAAAAAAAAATTCACTGAAGCTGAACACAGCCTCTTCCAAAAACACCAGCTGGTATCCTGATGCTGATGGGTTCCTAGAACACTTACCTAGTCGGGGAAGCCTATACTACAAGGGGCACACCCTCCAAAAAGATAATTGCTTCTTTTGGGTTCTCTCGTATGTGTATAAATAAATAACTGAATAAATATGTGGAAAGAAGGGACAACTCTCATTATAGAAGAATTTTAATTAATATATGATGAAGGAATGAGACAAGAAATTACCATTAGAACCCCATAGTCATAATTGCTGAAAGCAAGATTCACCAGTGAATACTAAAGTAAGTTTAAAGAGAAGCAGGATATTCATATAGTCTCCACATATTTCCTTCAATATATTTAGTAATTACAAAGTGAAAAATTATAACTTTACAGAGGAACGTCCTGATGGATACTACTTTAACCAAGAGATCAAAGTTAATATTACGAATCATACATATCAACACCATCTACCCCTCATATGATGCATGAAAAGGCATTAAGGTCCCCAGTCAGTTGACTTTCAGTTAATCAGAAGGGTGAGTCTCTTGGGTGGGCTTAACTTAATCAGGTGAGCACTAAAAATGACAAGGCTTAGCTGAAGCCACTGCCTACTGAGCCTTAGGAAAGCAAACTGCCATGTGGTAGGGAATATTAGTGACCTATGGAAGATGAGGGCCTCCGTCCTATAACTGCAAGCAAATGAATGAGCTTAAATGAGCTTGGAAGAGCACCCCATACTCGAAGAGGCTGCATTCCACCAACACCTTGATTTCAGCCCTGTGAGACTGAGCAGAGAACTCAGCTATACTATAACTAGATTTCTGACCTGCAGAAACTGTGAGATAATAAATAGGTATTGTTTTAAGGGGCTAAGTTTGTGATAATTTGTTACATAGCAATAGAAAATTACAACTGAACTGTACTTTTCAAAATTGTCAAAAACATATAAGACAGAAAAAAGTAAACAATTCTCACAGACTGGAGGAGACAAAGATTGGAGGAGACTCACAACCTTAAATAATGAGATTCAAAAAAAATGATTAAAGTTTATTCAAGCACAAAGCTTGAGGACAGTCACACAGATTTTAAAAGAATAGGTTGGCATTCCAAAGTATAAAAGTTAAGGTTTCACTCACAGAGAAGGTTAAAAGCATTACATTTTCTCATACAAGGTCAGTATATACGTTACAGCAATTTGATTGGTTATAGCTTGCTACATTCCAAGAAAGATTGCTTTAATATCCCAAAAGAAGGGGTAATAATCTCAAGGGGTCTTATGTCTGACACCATTTGGCCTTTCCTAATCATTTACAGGACAAGAATGAGGAAGAGATTTAATTTATAATTGGAAAAGCGGAAGTTGTAGCCGCATGATATGCAACTCAGGCCACATAATCACATTTGTCTCACGGCTTAAAATAATTTACAGCTGCAGTGGTTTTAAGTTTGAACTACTTAATTTCATAAGTCTAGGGAGACATAACAACCAAGTGCAATTTGTGATCCTGGAACAGAAAAAAAGACAGTGGAAAAACTGGTGAAATCTGAATAAGTCCCATAGTTTAGTTAACTGTATTGTATCAAAGCTAATTTCTTTGTGTGGATAATTTTCCTACAATTTTCATCTATGTAAAATGTTAAGATAAGAAGTCAGGCTAAGAGTATATGAGAATTCTGTACACTATTTTATGATTCTCCTATAAATCTAAACTTACTTCAAAATAAACAGTTAAAAATGCATATTTACAAGTTCTGTTCACTGAAAAGACCTAGAAAATGATAACCCAAGAATAATGAGTACACCTAGCACCCAAGTTGCTTCAAAATATTATTTCCACTAAACTATAATAGGGTTTCTTGACACAATGGCTGATTCCAGGTCTAGGGCAAGAAGTAGATGAGATGAACCTTTATTAGGTTCTTCAAAGAAAGTGATTATAGTAGCAGGCAAGTTCCAAGATCTGCAGGGTGAGTTGGCAAGTTGAAGAACCAATGGGTTAATTCTAGTCTGAGTCCAAAGGCCCACGAATCAGTAGAACCAGTAGTGTGTAGTTCCTGTTCAAAGGTCAGCAGTGTCCGGACCCAGGAAGAGCCAATGTTTCAATTTGGAAACAAGTAAAAGAGGAAAAAAAATAATAATAATAAGCAGATGTCCCCATTTAAAGGCAGTTAGGCAGGAAGAATTCTCTTATTCAGGGAGGAAGGTCACAATTTTTGTTCTATTCAGGTCTTCAACTGATTGGTTGAGGCCAACCCATGTTAGGGAGGGCAATCTGCTTTACTCAGTCTACCAATTTAAATGCTAATCTCAACCAAAAACACTTTGCAGCAACACCCAGAATAAAATTTTGTCAAATACCTATGCACTCTATGGTCCAGTCAAGAAACATAAAATTAACCATCACAAGCCTGGAACATTTTGACAGAAAGCAAGGAAGATATCAAAAATTAAGGGAGTCTTGGTAAAAGAACACAGAAGCAATATAAAAGAGCATCCACTGGCCAAGCATCTGAGCATTAAAAAGAATAATAAATGAAATTAAAATATGTGAAGATCAATGGGTCCATAAAGATTTTTTTTTTTAAGTGAACAAGTCAAAATTAAAGAAAACAAAATTTTAAAACCATTCTCACTATATGCAGACACTAATGGAAGTAACCAGGGCACTGACTCTACTCTGAAAATTATTTATCTCCTTTTTCACTAGTCGATGAGGGAAAGTTCTTTACAGAGGAATTTCAGCTAATTAAATGTGAAAGGAGTAACATAATTAGAAAAATCAGTGTTTTACAAGCCCTAATGAAAGAAAAAATTCTTTTGTGAAACCACAGATGAAAGTTTGATGGAAACTTTTATAGTGGAGAAACTCAGGCTATCTCACTAAAACCATTGATCAAAACTGGCATCACTAGAAGTGAAACAGTCAGACCTCATGTGTCCCCTAATTTGACACAATGACAAGGACAACATCACTTACGGAGTATTCTTGCCAAAAAAAGTTGGATCTCAATCTACATGTCTTTAGGGCAAAGTTCCATCCAGAGAAAATGTAAGAGATGAAGGCACAAATTAAAGGAACTGTATGGAAGCAAACAGGTAAATTCTGGATGTGAGATATTTAATAAAAACAACTGGCCTACTTTCTTTTAACAATTGAAAATATGAAATCAAACAATGGATGAAGCTGTTTTAGATTAAGAGGCACTTAGCAGACATAACAATCAAAAATACCATATAAACCCTGTTTGGATTCTGGCTAAAACAAACCAACTATAAAAGAAGACTTTTGACATAATCACAAAAATTTGCTCATGGAATGGATGAGACGAAATGGGTAGGATGGTATTCCATGTAAGAAGACACCCACATTTTGTAGATGCATACGGAAGTATGGAGGAGAGAATTGGTATAATATCTACGATTTTCTTTACAATTAAGTAAAAAAATAAGAATAAAAAGAATAGAAAAGAATCTAATCCCTAGAATCTGTTACTCAAAGTAAAAAAAAAAAATCATGTTTAAGCTTTTGGAATTTGGAACACAGGGGGATAGGGGATAGACACTACATTTTTTTTTTTGAGTTGGAGTCTCACTCGGTCGCCCAGACTGGAGTGCAGTTGTCGCTCCCGGCCACCGCAGCCTCGACCTGCTGGGCTCCGGCAATCCTTCCGCCTCAGCCTTCCAAGTAGCCGGAATTACAGGCATGCGCTACCACGCCCGGCTGATTTTTTGATTTATTGTGGAGATGAGGTCTCGCTGCCCAATCCACTCACCTTAGCCTCCCAAAGGCGCGGGATTACAGGCTGAGCCACCGAGCCCGGCTCGACACTACTTTTTAAATTTGTTTTTGTTATCTCCTTCAACATCCTACAAAATGTTGAACATACAGCAGGCACCCAAAAAGTACTGAAGTACCAGAATACATTTTTCATATTTACAAGAATTTATTTCTAGAATATATCTTACTTCTTATCAGTTTCCCTCTTTCTACCACCCTGGTTCCTTAAAATATTCAGAAATTCCATTGAAAAATTAGCTCCATTATTTCAGGAGTTACATACATATACACAGTACCTGAATTCTTCAGGGCAGTATTTCAATTATAAAAGATATGAGATTTATACCTTATTCATAAGTATTCATTTTCTATCAGTTAATAATATATATTTAATTTTGGTACATTTTTAAAGGGCATCCTTAAATTTTTGTCTTTAGAAATTTATGGAGACCAACACAATTGTATTTCTATGAAAAAAACTGTGGAAGTTAATAATTATGAATTTTGGCCAGATGCGATGTTTCATGCCTGTAATCCCAACATTTTGGGAGGCGGAGGTGAGACGACTGCCTGAACCCAAGGGTTCAAAACCAGCCTAGGCAACTTGGTGAGAGCTCGCCTCTACAATACATAAGAAAAATTAGCAGGGTGTGGTGGCACACGCCTGCAGATCCAACTCCTTGGAGGGCTGAGGCAGAAGTCTTGCCTGAGCCCAGCATGTGAAGGCTGTGGTGGCCGTGAACATGCCACTGCACTACTGCCTGGGCAACAGATACTCAGACTCAAAAAAAAAAAAAAAGAATTTCATACTTAGGTAAAAAAAAAAAAAAAATGAGTGCTTACTTGTGCTAGGCACTATCCCAAGGGCTTTGCATATATTTTAACTCATATTAAAACAATGGTACTAGTAGGTATTATTATTATCCTCCATTTTATAGACGAAGCATAAAAATAAAAACAACTTACGCAAGGCTCTGCAGCTAAGATACAGTAGTACTAAGATTCAAAGCAAATCTAACTCCAGAAATCCACTTTTGTGAGCTGACTCACAATGAGTCACCCCTTATCTGACACTATTGTCTATCTACTCAATTCCAGTATTATCAGTCATTTCCAAGGTGCAAATGAAGAAAGAAATAAAAATGAACTTACCTTTTGAATGGCTTCTTCCATATCCAACTCAAACTGTTCATTTTGTAACAATCTGAGGAACCGCTTGCGCTCAACACGGTTATCATTTTCATTCTGCACCATTTGATTCCTGATTTGACTGTTTATGTTTTCTAGTGTTTGGATGTGCAATTTTTTGCGGTAGTTTTCATCTACTAATTTCTGGTGCCTTTCACTAAAGCTCAAAGTTCTCCTTTTGGAATCCTATAATGGAAAAATTATATACTTACTTTTATATTGCAAAATCTAATTTTAAAGACTATATTGATGTAGTAACAAATATTCAAAAGGCCTTTGGTTTCCCTCCTAAATTCAGAGTATACCTAACAAGGAGTAAACGTAGTAGATGAATATATTGATATAGCAATCCAAGAGGTACTATTATTATTCTCTATTTTATAGATGTGACATGAAAAGTAAAAGTCACTTTACCCAAGGTTCCGCAACTAATAAAAAGCAGTACTAGGATCCAAGATACGTAATCGCGCCCTCCCTTCGCACCTGGGCCTCCGAAAGCAATTACGAGGTCCCCACTTATCAGAATAGGCACTTCAAAATCTTTTACAGAAACAGAGGAGCTCTAAACTATAGTTCAATCAACAAACAAGTAGTTTCGAGTCCCCGGACTAGCTCACCATCTTGGCTAAAGGAAAGACTGCTCCCCGGCTGCCGCAGCCACCACCTCCCGCAGCAAACGCAGTCGCCAGAGGCGCAACGGAGCAGCCCTGGGCAGCGCGCGCTCTGGTGTTTACGCGGTGTCCTGGCAACGCCGTCGCCGAACGTGGCCAACCCGCGCAGGGCGTGGTCTCTCATTGGGCGCGGCGAGATCCAATCGGCGCTGAGCTTCTTACGCGCCTGGCTGGAGGGCTACCTCCACAGGCCGAGAATGGAAAGGCGGGAAGTTCAGATGGCGGCTCCTGGCGCAAGCGCTTTGCCTTCGGCCAGGGAGCTCGAGTTCTCTTAAGCAGCCAGACTCTGTGGTTCAGGGGTTGAGAAACCAAGCCGAGGCCCGTGGAAACTAGGTACAGAGAAGAACTCAAACCGCTGTCAAGTACATGGGGCTGAAGGCCATTTCCAAACGCGGAGCCTCCTGCACTCACAACGCCTGTTCTGCCAGAGCTGGTGACTGATTTCATCCTCGGTGGTGGGAGTCTCAGGTCACTCCCCCCTCGCTGGGTGACTGTGAGGCACTGTAGGTTGCACGTGTTTCCAGGAGCCTTCACCTCACTCCGCACCGGAGCCGTTGGTAAACTTTGGCAAGGAAATGTATGAGCCACGTGAATGGATGTGTGGTCCAGATACTAAGGAGACAGCACACTAGATAATGGGAGGATGTTGGTCTGGTTCACTTCATAGACAGGCTAGACACTAAAATCCACTTTAAATGGAGGAGTTTAGATATACTGATTTTACAGATGACATATTTAGAGAAATCCTGTCAAAACTAACATTTTTTAAAAGAAGTAGTTAGTGGTATGACTTGACTTAATTTGTATTATCCTAATTTGAAGTCCATGTTCTGTAGCAATATATCTGCTTTAAAATTTACAATAAGTAGGACTTCCAGTTCCAACTCTGACGTGTAAAAGCTTGGGAATTGTCATTTCCAATATTACAACCAGAAAAAAAGCTGAACAAACAAAAAATCAATGACTTGTTGCATCCAGCATAGAACTGAGGTCTCAGGACAAACCAGCACCCTAAAATCTAGAGAGACAGGTGAATCTGATGAGTCACAGACTCATTAGACCTACTTGCCAAGAGCAGAAACTGCTGGAGCTCTAAATTAGTAGGAACACTTAAATGGTGATTTGAGAGGTTACTGGAGATTAAGTGTAAACTAGCATGAGAGAAACTACTGGGGATCAGTCTTAGGAAAACCCCCACACTTCCATAGGTGTTACCTCCAGGAATCCCACCAGGATCTTACAGCAAGGAACCCAAAAATATCTTCTGTGGCATCTAGTGGGAATGGGAAGAACAATCATTGTGAAATGCATCCAGAGCTTTTTTAAAATAAATGTCTGTCTCCCAGGTGAGAAGATTTTACCAGAACCTTATCCCATCTGGGGTAAGGACATTTCTATGACTCAAGCCCCTTCTAGCCTTCCTGTCTTACCTAAGTGGGAGGTGGAGGGGAGCTAAGAAACACCTATGAAGGTCACAGCCCTACTAAAGCACTGAGGTTTAATGATAAAAGTATAAAACCTTCCCCTTTCCCACATTTTACCACCACACCAACAGGGTCCAGCAGAACAGTGGATTGCAGCTGTCAAGGGGAATTCTCAGGGAAATCTAAAGACAAAGGGAAACAAGCACAAAAACACCAGAAGATTTTGAAGACTCTAATACATATACAGCTACGGCAAACAGAACACAGCCCAACTCCTAGCCATGTAATGTAAAACCTCACACTAAAGGCCTCAGTTCCTATTATTCAATACATATTTAGCGTTCAACCAAAACAACAAGGCTAAAGGCAAGTTGCCTCTTAAAAGGCAAAGAAAACAGTTCAAAAGGCAAATTAAGCATCAGCACCAGATTCAGACATATTTGAGTATTATTAGATGGAAATGTAAAATAATTATGATTAATATGCTCAGAGCTGAAAAATGAGGACAATATGCAAGAACAGATGGTAATATAAGTTGAAAAATGGAAATTCTAAGAAAGAATCCTAAAGAATGCTAGAAATGAAAAATAGCATAACAAATTAAGAATGCCTTTGATGGGCTTATCAGTAGATGGGCACAATTGATGAATCAGTGAGGTTGAAGATATGTCGATAGGAATTTCTCAAATTAAAATGCTAAGGTAGTAATAGCAAATGACACTATTGGGCTTTTATTAATTAATTAATTAATTAATTTATTTATTTATTTATTTATCCAGGCTGATGTGCAATGGCATGATCACTGCTTACCAGTCTCAAATTTCTGGGATCAAGTGATCCTCCTGCCTCAGTCTCCTGAGTAACTGGGACTACAGGTGCTTGCCATAATGTCTAGCTAATTTTTTGACTTTTGTGTTGTTGCTTTTTGTAAAGACAAGGTCTCATTATGTTGCTCAGGCTGGTCTGGAACTCAAGACCATGGGCTCAAGCAATCCTCTCTTCTCACCTGGTCCCCATAGGGCTTTTAGACCTTACCTCAGACTCAAACTCTTCCTAAATTAGAATAGTACTTGTTGGAGGCCATGTTGAGACATTGTCAAGGATTCTGTATTTTAGGGTTCTTAATATAAACCCAATTACCTCAAAAGTAAAATTGACTGTAGGACATTTACAAGGCAAAACATTTTGAATCCAGGGTACAACTGTTACTTGCATTTAAATTTCTGTTAGTCTAGCAACCTTCATGGGAACTCTGCAAAACATATGGCTATGTATAGCTTCTCGTAAAGTAGCCCCTAATTCAAAACTTTTTGCTGTGTTGTCACTAGAAATTTTTGTTTTGAACACTGATGTATTCCAAGCATTTAAAATAGTGCCTCACATACAGTTAGGTGCTAAATAAATATTTGTTAAATGAACAGTTGGTTGAAATAATATTATTGTTATGCATTTAGAGAAACTTTATTTCTGTTTTTTGGGAGTTTAATTTGCTCTTTTTTTTTCTTTTAGTTTCTTGAGGTGGAAGCTTAAATCTTTATTTAAGATCATTCTTTCAAATATAAATATACAATATTATAAATTTTCCTCTAAGCCTTGCTTTAGCTGCCTTCCACAGATTTTGATATGTTTTACTTTCTCATTCATTCAGTTCAAAATATTCAGACTTCTTTGACCAAGAATTATTTAAAGTGTTTTGTTAACTTTCCAAATATTTTAGATTGTCCAGATATCTTTTTGTTGTTGATGTCTAGTTTAATTCCACTATGCTCAGAGAACATATTTTATATCACTTCAATTCTTTTAAATTTGTTGATGTTTGTTTTATGGAGCAGAATATGGCCTATCATGGTGAATGTTTCATGTGCACTTGAAAAGATTGTGTATTCTGGTGTTGTCAGGTAGAGTGTTCTATAAATGCCAATGAGGACAAATTGGTTAAGAATGCTGTTCAGGTATTCTATATCCTTACAGTATTTTTAAATTGTTTTTATCAATTACTAAGAGGAGTGTTAAGGTCATCAAGTATAATTGTGGGTTTTTCTCTTTTCAGTTATATACAGAGGGTGCCAAAAAATGTATACACATTTTGAGAAAGGAAAAAAACTGTATTAAAGTTGTAACACTCCCTAAAATGAATACAGATCACGCTTGACTTCTGCAATTACAAGAGGTGCTCAAAGTGATTGCCATCAGCATCCAGACACTTCTGATTTAGGCAAACATCTCTTAACATCTCTTGAAATGTGTATACATTTGCCATAAAAAATGTATGCACATTTTAAGAGCTGTTATCTATGTATTATTACTTTTCAAAGTTGAATTAAATTATGGTAGCAATCTTTTATTATCAGTATATATTGAGTATTCCAATTTTAACACAGTTTTTTCCTTTCTTAAAATGTGCATATTTTTGGCACCATATATATGTATATATACTTTTCAGTTACATGTGTGTATATATATATATATATTGCTGTGTGTGTTTCAAAGTTCTATTGTTAGGTATACTCACCGTTCGGATTGTCATTATATCCTGATAACATTTTGACATTAACATTTTGAAATGTCTCTTTATCCCTGGTAATATTTTGTTCTTAAGTCTATTTGATATTATTATGGCCATTCCTAGCTTTATTTTAATTAGTGTTTTCATGGCATTTCTTTCTCTTTGTTTTTACTTTGAATCTATGTCTGTCTGTCTGTCTATTTATTTATTTATTTTGAGTTGGGGGTCTCATCTGTCATCCAGACTGGAGTTTAGTGGCACACTGACAGCTCACCACTGCCTCAATCTTCTGGGGTTAGGCAATACTTCTGCATCAGAGTCCTGAGTAGCTGAGACTACAGGTGCATGCCACCACACCTGGCTAATTTTCTAATTTTTGTAGAGATAAGGCCTTGCTGTGTTGTTGAGTCTGGTCCTGAACTCAGGCTCAAATGATCCTTTCGATTCAGCCTCCCAAAGTACTGGGGTTACAGGCATAAGCCACCATGCCCAGCCTCTTATGTCTTTATATTTAAAATAGCGTTCATAGCTGTACATAGCATATAGTTGGTGTTGCTTTTTTATTCAGTATGACAGTCTGTATCCTTTAAATGATGTGTTTATGCCATTTACATCTGATGTCATTATTGAGATGAATGAATTAAAATCTACATTTTACTAGTTCAAAAATATTTGTTACATCTTTTGTCTATTTTCTCTTCTTTTTGTCTTTTTAAAATTATTTTTTGTGGCCAGGTGCAGTGATTCACACCTGTAATCCCAGCACTTTGGGAAGCAGAGGCAAGAGAATTGCCTAAGTCCAGAGGTTTGAGGCCAGCCTAGGCAAGTTGGTGAGACCTCGCCTCTGCAATAAATCAAAAAAATAGCTGGGCATGGTGGCACATGCCTGTAGTTCCAGCTATTTGGAAGACTGAGGTGGAAGGATCGCCTAAGCCCAGCAAGTTGAGACTATGGTAGTTTTGAACATGCCTCTGCACTCCAGCCTGGGTGACAGAGTGGGACTCCGACTCAAAAAATTATTTTTTGTAATTATATTTCATTTTTACTATTGACCTATTTATATATCTATATTTAATTTCTTAGTGGTTGTCCTAAGATTATGTTTATGTAATATATATATATGTATGCTACTTTGGGTTTACACACA